AAAAAAAAAAAAAAAAAAAAAAAAAAAAAAAAAAAAAAAAAAAAAAAAAAAAAAAAAAAAAAAAAAAACAATTGCCAAAATTATAGTGTTTTTTGATTCTGGAAAAATTTTTTTCACCATTTTATTGCAAGACAGTAATTTATATGAGGGGCAAACAGTAAAAATTACTGTATCTACGATGAAATTACTTACTGTTTATCACAATGAAAATTAATACTTACATAAACAGTGTAGTGTGATAAGCTCATACAATAATGCATTATAAAAATATTCATAAGTAAATATGGAAGCAGTTACAATAATTTAATTCGCACAAAACACGTCTAACATAACTATAGCAAATTAAAAATCATACGAATCATGGTCAATAATCATTTTTTATACAATGAATACATTTTTTACTTCACCATGTTTCGAAAAAGTCAAATTATCATCAGTAAAAAAAAATTATTTTTACGAGTTTTAGTATTAAATTTTCTTTTTTTTTTTTTTTTTTTTAATACATAAACGCAAAAAATAGCGTGAACAATAAAAACTAACGTACGGCCAAAAAGAAATAAAAAAGAGGAGTGGTTTAATTAGCCTCCAGCTTACAAAGTTCAACATGCAGTGGCATCGATTGCTCTGGCTTTAAAAGTGTCTTGCTCGTAAGTTTATACAGATAAATCGAACGTCGAGGAGAAAAATTATGGGTCTCTGAGACGAACGAACGAGCGGCGTACACCCTCTTGAACGAGCGAACACGGCGAGAAAAGTAAATGAGGAACGAGACCACAATGCCAAGAAGACGTGAAAAGAGTGTGTTCGACGACGCGAAGCAGAGCTTACTCTTCTCGAATGACGTGTAACTTGGTGTTTAAAAATTAAAAACTATCGATTTTCTTTTTTTTTTCTCTCTCTTTTTTTTCCTTAACACGCCTTACCTCGATCTGCTTTTCAATCCTTGTGCCGATCCGAGTGGTCATTCGCACTGAGATTTTCGTAAAAACGTTGAAACCAATGGCACATTTTTATATTTCTTTCTGAAATTAAGAAAAAAAAGAAGCATATTGTTGAAAACAATTTAATTATGAGTAGCGTTACAAGTTTTAGGTCAATCATCTTTTTTTTTTTTTTTTTTTTTTTTGAGCTACTAAGGGAAGAAAACTTGTCTGAAAGGGAAAATTATTGTAGGGTGATAATAACTTAATGGTTTCCACTTGGATATTTTGATAATAATCATCACCTACCTAACCCAAGGTACTAAGTATTTTAAATAATAAAATTCAATAAGGAATTTTTAAAGAAAGCAATAAAATCGGGATTAATTAAAAAACGTAATTTATGCACCAAAATTTGTCATTCCAAACACATGATATAATTTCACGGATATGACTATTTCACTAGACGTCAAAAAATCGTAAATTGGCTCTTCTATTTTTTTCCTACGGTAAGAAAATAAAGAATCACATTTAATAGAAAATATTCTTATCTGACAATGTGTAGTATTATATTAAAATAAACAAATGCGTATGTAAATTATTTTACAAATCAAAGAATTACTTTCTTGATTTTTCCTAATACTTTGGTCTCTTTGTTTTGCATACGAATAAAAACCAAGAAATGAATGGCAAAGTGGGGGGGAAGTGCATTGTTTTCCCTTGAAATCTTGATAATCCTTTTCGCGGAGAGCAATTGGATCAAGGAAAAGAAGCAGCAGTCGGGGATTCCAGCTGTAACAAAAAAAAAAACTGCTAAAAAAGGGCTGAAAAACACAGCATCAGCTAAAGAAGAAGTTGGCCGACTTCTAAATTACCATTCACAAATATATACGGCTCTTTGCGCCATCAAGACGAGCTAAGAGCTGCTCTTGAGGAGGAAATTCGCCCTCATCGCGGGAGTAAAGAATAATTAATTCACCGGTACCTTGTTTCTTCCAGGAAAATAAGGGCATAGCACGAGTTAACAGGTGAGTCGACTGGATAGCCGTAGGCGTCCAGTAGGGTATAGGTACACTTGGTCGGAAAATTGGATTTGAGCGTATGCATATGCCAAAACAGCAGCACCCCGTGTAGGTACGATTGTGTGTGTATGTCAGTTTGGTACTGACTAAGGGTATATAAGGGGTGTAACCTTCTCGATCCTTGCACACCAGAGCCAATGCGTCTTGAAATGCAAATTCTAGTTATATCGACCAGCTTGCTTGCTGGGATTTCATCTCTCCCTCCCTCCCTCCCTCACTGCCATGAATAATACATACTGACCCCTCCTTTACTATTACTGCTGCTGCTGCCATTACGACGACTCCCTTCTCTCGTCCTTATACATACGTTGACTCGCTGCAATGCACACACAACACCTGCAGGTATATATGTTATCTACGTACGTCTTACGCGTCAATTTGGGAGAACTTGCTTCGTACATAGCATTGCAGGATATTGTACTCACAGTCCGGAGGCAAATTAATACAACTCCGGTGAAAACGAATTTCAGAAATATTTGGTGGTGTTGATAGGTGAGTTCATAATGAGGGAGTGAAAGAGAGAGAGAGAGAGCGAGAAAATGTGAAGTATACCAGAGAAAATGATGTATACATGAGCTGATTCTGGTTATTTGTATGCACATCCTGGCAAACTCGACTTTTCGAGTACGTCATTCATTTGGGTGGGTAATTTTAATGAATGGGAGCTTTCGAGTACGTGCATTGATAAATTACCTTTGAGCGCTTGCCTGTCTCTGTATATATGCCTGGTGTGTGAAGAAAAAAAAACATGACTCTCAAGTATGCCTGATGAAATAATACGTATAGGTGCCCCCACTCAACTCAATAGACCGACGTTAAATGTCACGTGTACTGAAGAAAAAAAAAAAAAAAAAAAAAAAAACAATTGCCAAAATTATAGTGTTTTTTGATTCTGGAAAAATTTTTTTCACCATTTTATTGCAAGACAGTAATTTATATGAGGGGCAAACAGTAAAAATTACTGTATCTACGATGAAATTACTTACTGTTTATCACAATGAAAATTAATACTTACATAAACAGTGAAAAGTACAAAAATAGCAGAAATTATCTTCATGACGAAGTGGTATCAGATTACCAGTCTATAGCTCAGTGATACTTACTGTTGGACGTTGAAATATTTTACAATATAATATACTTATAAACGTCAACATTTCTTTTACGTTTTCAACAAAAAACAAATCATTTCGAGCTTTATAACTATTTTTTTCCCTTAAAAACATTTTTCTTTAAATATCGCTCTATCTCTGAAGTAAAGATAATTTTTACGAAAAGATATGAAAAAAATTGTTTGTCGTCTGAAAACTTGAGTGAATAATTGATACCTAAGTTTTTTGAGAGAACATCAATACAACAGAATAATATACACACGTCCAAAAACACGTTGATGTAATATGAATGCTCAACCATTGAATTGAGCTTTAAAAAAAATTATATTTTAAAAGATTACAAGATATACAGTACGTGCTATGATAATTTTTTTTCCTACGAGTATATTATATCCTTAAAATAACAACGAGAAAAGACGGAGCTACGTGCAGAATAAAAAGCTCAGTCGTAGAGATGCCTCGAGATAAAAAAAAGGGGTTGTTGTATGCAGGCATGCGAGTATTTTTGCAAATATTGAAGGAATACTATGCATAAAGAGATAAAGAAGAATAGCTTGTATAAGTACGTTGGCGAGAAACTTTTTTTTTTTTTTTGTGTAGGTACATTGTATTTGTATATACCTACAGGGAAAACTTTGACGTTGATTTATCGATGGAGGCTCCTTCCCTCGCTCTGACTCTTTACTCCCTGCTTTCTTAATGCATGTACATAACAAGCTCGATTCTTTCTTGTCCTCCTTAGCACCTCTTCACTTGTCTTTGCTTCAGTTTCTTTCAAGTATCATCGAGGCTTTTATTATTTTTCATTCTATCATTTTTTTCTTTTTTTTTTTTTTTTTTTAAGGCCTCTTAAGGAGCTTTTAAAAGTGAAACATCTGTTAATAGATTGCCTATGAAGACGCCGTACTTTTGCTTACTGTGACGGCACTTTATCTGTCTGAATCCATCTATCAAGCATAAATAATCTAAGTAAATTTACTATCCTAATATTTGATTTTGAATGTGGGGTGGTTCCATTTAAATGGAATAAAATCCCAATATGGTAGTATCTTTTTTGTTATTTTCTGACCTTATAAATGCCGCATGACAAATAATACATATTGATCGCCATATCACTCGCTGTAATTGATTTATTAAAATTTTATGTTCCACTCCTATACTAGGGAGGAAAAATACAAAATGTCTCAGATCACAGAAAAGTTTGACATCGGAGATGAAGCCGAGGGTAACAAGAACGTGATCTGAGGCTTTCTTTGTTTTCTCCCGGTTGTACATGATTTTTTACCAACTCTGCTATTCTCGTGCCGAGAGATAGTATTTTCTCTTCGGCAGAAAATTTCTTCTTTCAGCGCAGTGGGAAGAGAAACAAATGAAAAACTTAAAAAAACATTACGGCGAGTATTTTTTAATACAAATTAATTTGAACTTCTCGTTTCAACATCCACAGTCAGAACCATTTCAATATTTATATTAGTTGTTCTTTCTAAACTTTTTTAACTAAAAACGAATAATTTTACTAAGTAGCCGTTATGAATTTGCCATTACAAATTTTTTTAGACCAAAATAAGGCCACTTTATGAATGAGGAACTCTATCAAAAAATTGCTGAAAAACACAAGAAGTGTTAGGTTTTTTTTATTTTAATAAATTTTGTGTGAACGGGATCGAGCGGTCGCAATATCATATCAGCGATAAGTTTCATGTCAGCCGTTCGATCAACTGGCTCGAGGTAAAAGTCGTACAAAATTCGGGCCGTTAGTAACTTCAGTTCCATCATGGCAAACTTTTGACCTGAAAATCGATTAAATGAACATTAAAAAAACAATACATTGTATTTTTCAGTAAACAAATAATAATAAAAATAAAAAACCTATGCAGTTACGAGGCCCAGCACTGAAAGGTAAATAAGAAAAAGGATGTCGATTTCGAGAATTTTCAGGGGTGAATCTGGTAGGATCGAACTTTTCAGGATCAGGCCAGAAATTCGGATCTCTGTGGGTATCCCAAAAATGAATCATTATGTGTGAGTCGGTTGGCAAAAGAGCATGTTCTAAAATAGAGAAAAAATTATTGTAAATTAAACTTTTAAAAGAGATGGACTTCGAAAAATAGATAAAACTTCAAATTTTACTTAATTGTAATTCGTCGTATATGTATCTTCCGACTGTGGCCACTGGAGGGTACAGCCTCAAGGCTTCTTTGATACAACATTCCAAGTACTCCATTTTCTGGATTTCCGTCATTCCCAGCTTGCCACTGGAGTTGTTCATGATCTCGGTCACTTCCAGTCTGGCTTTGTCCTGGAAAAAATCATCATTTTTATCGATGTAAGGTTTTTCTGCAATTTTAATCCAAATGTACGAGAAAACGGAAAGAAATGAGTGTAGGTACTTGTGCTTCCTTGTTTTCAGCCAATTGCATCACTATAAAAGTCATGGCCATCGCCGTGGTATCGTGACCCTAATGAAATATATATTAATCGTTCAAACGGACACTTGATTAAAATTTTAAGCTACAATCAGTTCTAATCCAAACGATATTTTGCACGTTAATCATTTAAAATATTTACTTTGAACGTGAAAGTATCCACTTCTTCTTTTATTCCGGTATCATCTATCAACCCTTTTTTTTCAGCTGCCAAGAGCAAATCGAGCATAGCCAATCTTTTTTTGTGACCTACAATTTTTTAAATTATACAAATGAGTACAAAATGTTGCACATAAATGCTGTTACCCATGTGAATGTCATTTAATACAGTGTCTTCCACTTCGTAAGTGTGTTCATCTAAAAACTTATTTCCTTTGCTTTCGTGATATTTTTTTCGTTCCTTTATAACCTGTAGAAATTTTAAAAAGTTTTGTAAAATCTTTTACATAAATAGATACAAAAACTGATTAAAATTAAGATCAGGAATGTATTTTTAAATGATTTTTCCATTTCATTTTGTAGATTTTATTTTTAATGATTTATCGATTGAAAATCTATATAAATAAATTACCTCATCTGTGAACTCGTGGAGTACGTCAAGAGATTTCGAACTTAATTTTCCCATTGCCGTGTGAGGAAAAATAATATTTACGATATAAGGTCTCATCGCTCTGCAAAATGTTATGAATAAAATCTTTTACGTTCCACAATGAAGTAGTTAAGATTACGCATTTTCAAACACTCGAAGTCAAGAGAGAAGAAAGTATTCTGATTTTGTTGAAAAAAAGTATATGTTAAAATTAAATTCAGCCATGGTATTAATGATTGGTTACACATCCTCAACTCGAAAAATTCAACTACTGTTTCAGTAAAAAAATTGTGTTTTAAACTCTTGTATCGTAAAATATTTTTAAAAAATAAAAAGTTTTAATTGAAGCACCATTTAATAAATATATACCTATAAAGCACAATTTTCCCCATATCATGTATTGCTTGTTTGTATTTTTCAACTTTTTCCTGGTTCATTTTATCTAAATCAACTCCCATAGATGCTTCTGCAAGTAAAAATGTCAAACAATTTGAGTAATAAATTTCATAAATTATAATACATAGTTTCATAAAAAAANAAAAAAAAAAATCACGATTTAAGTAATTCCTATGATCTTACCACAGATAATTTTCAGAGTAATGTCCGAAAAAAATGGAATGAGGCTTTTCACAGTTTCTTGTCCCTCGCTCTTGAGCTCGTCAATGAACTTTTCTCCTTGTTCCTTTGTTATTTCAATATATTTTTTCAAAATGTTAAAGTGGAATGCAGGTGTCAGGATTTTTCTTCTCTCTCGCCACTTTTCACCTATTAACAAGCAAATGAATTCAGTAAATGCTTTCAAAATTACTTGTGCATAGATATTTTTTTTTTTTTTCACCTGTACTCGTAAGTAAGCCAGTTTTCAACCAAGAGTGGAGATACCAGTAAACATAATATTTTTCAATAGCTTTTTGACTAGAGAGCAGAATCTAAGTTTAATTTTAATAATTAAAAACATTAGATATATATAGTTTCAATTAACATATTCATCAGTTTTATTAATAAAAAAATACTATACCTCTAAATCGTCAGGGTGAAGGACACTGATTAAAGCAGTATGTAAAAACCAAAATCGAGTAATTGGATAATAATCCTTGACGACTTGTCGACCTTGTACCCAGAGATCGTCTACAGTGTAGTTGAAAAAAAAATTTTCATGAACTAATATATTTTTTTATAACTCTAATAATAATATGGTAGTGATAATTAACTAACGCATATTGTTAAAATTAAACGTCCATATATTGCCAACGATGGGGTAATCGATCAGCCCTGGTATTCTTCCTAATAGACGACCTTTTCGATTACAATGTGTAACAATGTAAAACACTAAAGTTACCAAAAATAACACTGTCAAAGCTGTGGTAATCATTTTAATACTTATTTCAACAGTAAAATAAGACTTTAGGAATAAAAAATATCACTGGGATATTTATTTGAATTTCACACGAAATAATTTACATTAAAGGAACCCAACGAAATCTATTTTCTAAAATTTAGGATAGGTTCTCTTTTAAAAATGCGCTCTTCATATAGTTACTCAACGAAACTGAGGAAACTACTGACTCTTAGTGATGAAAATGTATATTCCAACTGATCGTCATCACTTGCGCAACAATTTCTTATTACTCAGCTGGTGATTATACCAAGGAAAGATTCGCGCGTCATGTAGATTAATAAAACTACAAGAAATTTACCGAATACTAATCATTGCGTATTGTGTTCATACATTTTTTTTTTTTTTTTTTTTTTTTTTTAACATTAAATTTGAATAAGTTAAAACTTTTTAAAAATAAGATCCAACGTGTAGATAAAATATATATTTTCATTATTAAAAATTAATTACATGTATTGTTTATGTAAACTTGTAATATAATATTATATGCTTTGATAGTTTAATTAAAAATCAATTTGAATTTTTTTAAAAGTACTTGTAACCAAGTTTTACTAACTGAACTAAAAAGTAGAAAAGTAATTTTTTTAATTTAAGCTTCCTGTACGTGACCATAAATAAAAGTTTACACCTCTCTAATTTACAATTTTAAAATACTACATTATCATTTCAAAGTACATACATATTTAGAATCTTCTACTTACTCGTTGAGCCCTTTCAATAAATACCAAAATTAAAAGTTTCCAGAATCACATTGGATTCAGAATGAAGTCAGAGAAATTAATGATGTTTAACTCTTATCCTTTTTATTCGGTATTCGTATCGAAGAGGTTGTGAAGGAAAAGGTAATTTATAATTTTCTGGAATTTTGATAACCAATGGCATCTACCATAACATCAGAATGTACACTACATTAAAGTATTTTCGGAACCATGGTACATGAAAAATTTTTGCATGATTTCGGAAAGTGGTCGGTAATTCAAACTTTATGTTGGGCTTGCAGGTACGATAATGATGATCGGCATGAATATGCATTATTGCACTCGCGGTTCACGAAATAATTTTCTGTGACTCAACTTTTTCCCATGTCATACTGTTTAAACACATTTTGTATACGTCGAATGTACGTGAATCGGCAGAGTTAGGCACAACTATTTCATAGAATCTTCAACATATATAGACAAATTTTTCTGAAAAAATAATGCAATATTTTTGCTGAAATTTTTTTTTTTTTTTCATCACTACTTGTAAGTTAAAACACACTACTTGACAACATCTTTGGCAATAAAACAAATAGTGTAAAATATTTTTAGAGGGTTTTTATTACTGTATAGTCAGTAGTCAG